TAGCAGGCATGGCATGAAAGAGCTGAACGTTTTGAGATATGAATGTTGAAGTAGCACAAAAACWTTGGAACGAGGGAGGTGCAGAAAACCGTACGGAAGAAAAACTGATGTGAACAGWGTGATGGTGAGAGGCGTTCACTGATTCTGGGTCAGTGCTGAGACCTGCAGGTGACCCTGCAGGTGACCCAGCAGGTGACCCAGAGGAGCAGCTTCCTGTTGACTGGAACCTGGACCACCTGCTGTCAATCATTAACCAGTAACTCACTGGTTGAACGGGTTCAGTGACTGCAGCTTTGAAAAGTTTCCAGTCATTAATGACTTTCCATCCGTTCCTCCGACTCAAACTTTGTCCCTGAAGTTCTTCTAAATCTAAAGTTTTATGGATCACCGTGTCCTGACCCGGTTTTAAAGTCCGGTAAATAAAACTCCTTGAGCACTCTGKATGTTTCAGGACCCGACCTACCGTGCAGAACTGGATCCCTCGGACCGAGTTGCCCAGCTTGTCGAGCGGCGGCGACCAGCACATGATGCCCATCACGTTGGGAACGACCAGCAGGATGCCTCCGGCCACGCCCGACTTGGCAGGAAGTCCAACCTGAACCGGGACAAAAGAACCGGGTGAAGACAAAAACCAGAACGGCTTTACGTCCTCATCCTGTCACAACCTGATTATCTGCAGATAATCTAAGCTTTACATCAGCTATGACTAATTTATTCTGAGAACGCTGAGTCAGCGCTGTTTACAGTTTTAGACCGTGACTTGGTGCGATTTTAGCTGTTTGTACATCAAGTGGAAGTGGCTTCAAAATATTTTAACTTTATTTACAAATATTTTCTACTCAGACTGCTGTAGCCATGTACCTCATGCTTTAATGTGTTGTGTGTTCACAGATGTGTTGTGTGTTCACAGATGTGTTGTGTGTTCACAGATGTGTTGTGTGTTCACAGATGTGTTGTGTGTTCACAGATGTGTTGTGTGTTCACAGATGCTCTTCTGCAGACCTCAGTTGTAACCAGTGGTTATGTGAGTTACTGTTGCTGTTCTATCAGCTCCAACCAGTCTAACCATTCTCCTCTGACCTCTGACATCTGACATCAACACCTGCGGCTCACTGGATATTTCCTCTTGTTCGGACCATTCTCTGTAAACCTTACAGATGGTTGTGGGTGAAAATCCCAGTAGATCAGCACCAACAACCATGTTTAAAGTCACTTAAATCATATTTCTTCCTCATTCTGATGCTCAGTTTGATCTGCAGCAGGTCATCTTGGACACGTCTAMATGCTGCCATGTGRTTGGCTGATTGGACWTTTATGTTAATGAGCAGCTGGACAGGTGGACCTAATGAAGTGTCAGGTGAGTGTATCAAAGTGTTACACAACACCCTGTTACTGGTACAGCTCCCAGTTCACCACTTTTAGCTTCTGTCTACAGGCCTGTTAAATTTAGGTTTTAACTCTGGACTAACTGGTCCACTGGTTCTGGACTTAATAGTTTTAGTTGGTCCAGTTGTAAGGTTTTAGGTCCTGACAATAAAGGTTCTGTTGATACAATTGGACCACAGGTCTCAGTGGACCCTGAACTGGACCACAGGTCTCTCTGGACTGGACCACAGGTCTCTGTGGACCCTGGACTGGACCACAGGTCTCTCTGAACTGGACCACAGGCCTCTGTGGACCCTGGACTGGACCACAGGTCTCTCTGAACTGGACCACAGGTCTCAGTGGACCCTGAACTGGACCACAGGTCTCTGTGGACCCTGAACTGGACCACAGGTCTCTCTGAACTGGACCACAGGTCTCAGTGGACCCTAGACCGGACCACAGGTCTCAGTAGACCCTGGACTGGACCACAGGTCTCAGTAGACCCTGGACTGGACCACAGGTCTCTCTGAACTGGACCACAGGTCTCTCTGGACTGGACCACAGGTCTCTCTGAACTGGACCACAGGTCTCAGTGGACCCTGAACTGGACCACAGGTCTCTGTGGACCCTGGACTGGACCACAGGTCTCTCTGAACTGGACCACAGGTCTCTCTGAACTGGACCACAGGTCTCAGTGGACCCTGAACTGGACCACAGGTCTCTGTGGACCCTGAACTGGACCACAGGTCTCAGTGGACCCTGAACTGGACCACAGGTCTCAGTGGACCCTGAACTGCTGTGGACCATGAACTGGAGCACAGGTCTCTGTGGACTGGACCACAGGTCTCTGTGGACCCTGAACTGGACCACAGGTCTCAGTGGACCCTGAACTGGACCACAGGTCTCAGTGGACCCTGAACTGGACCACAGGTCTCAGTGGACCCTGAACTGGACCACAGGTCTCTGTGGACCGGACCACAGGTCCCAGTGGACCCTGGCGGGTGGTTCAGACTCACGTGGAAGGCGAACTGTCCGGAGAAGTCGTACATGCCACAGGAGTGCATCAGGCTCAGCGTGTTCCTGACCGCCTCAGGGCTCAGGACACGCTCGCCTGTGATTGGACAGATGCCGCCGTTGGCCAGGGTGGCYGCCATGACGCTGGCGCTCTCACAGGTCACCTCGATGGCGCACAGCTGGAYGGGAACGAAGCAAACCGAGTCAGAGTTTTATGTTAGAGGCAGAGGATGAAATAATATAATTATTATTTTAATAATGAAATAAWGAAGCAGCAGGTGGAGCTGCGCTCACCTGAAAGTACAGGTCCAGGACTGACGTCATGTCCGTCCCTTCAGGGAAACACTGCAGATAAACAAGAAAACACAGATTTACACTCAACACACCTGAAAACTCTTTTTATTGTTGAATAAATGAGTTCAGACATGAAAACATCAACAGTTTATTCATTTATTTAAGTTTATTTGTTGATTTATCTTAATTAGATTCAGTTTTTAACCTCTTCAGTTCAACTTGAACTCACAGCAGCAGCTGGAACATTTGTTTATGAAATGTAAATTATTTTAATCTTCCTGCAGAGGAACCGGATCGGTCCGGTCTGACCCACAGACCCACCTTTTTCTCCTTCAGGTAGTAGCCGATGGCGAAGTTCCTGTCTCCTGACTCGCGCTCCGACTGGAATCTGTYACAGACAAGAGCAGAGCGATCTGGTTACACACGCACACACACACACACACACTGCACGTGTCGATGTGCGCTCTCTGCACGTCGGAGCAGGAATCCTGTGGCTCCGCCCCTTCACGTGTCGGTACACACAGAACCTTCACGCCATCGTTCTGAAACCAGAGCCTCTGATCTTTTCCTGGAAGAAGCTCCGCCTCCATAAATCATGTCAGATCTTTACAGCAGGAGCCACCGGACCAGAACCGAGCAGAACCTTTTCTGACGGCTCGGTGCAGAAACCAGAAGTCTCAGGTCTAAAATAACAAACGTTCTCCTCCAGTAAAGGAACAGAAMGCTGAGGAGGATCGGCACGTTTACGGCGACGACACAAATAAAGTTTTATCAAAAACAGAAATCTCTGACTCACGTGGCGTTGCTGAAACCCACGTACTCGTTTCCTGCCATGTTTTTCAGGAAATTCATGGCCTGAAAAAAAAAGAAAAAAAAAGAAAGAAGCTAAAATGAGAACAAAGATGGTGAATTCTTGGCAGCCATCTTGGATTTTGCATTAGCATTCAGTTTGAGTTACACACTACTGTGTTACAAACACACAAGATGAAGAAAGTACTACAAAGCTCAAAACAGTGGTGATTAATCAAAATGTAAAATTAGCTGAAAAATTGTTGAAAATCTGAAAAAACCTGAAAACAGCTAAAAAAAACCACAAATTAAAGAAAAAGATTAAAAGTAACACTCAAATCACAACAAAAATTGAAAAATGCTAAACTAAACCCCAAAAAAGCTGAATAAAACCTAAAAACAGCTAAATAAAAACAGAAAAAAGCTGAAGAAAAACCTAAAAAGCTAAATAAAACCTAAAAAAAAAAAATCTAAAAAGCTGAAACACAAAAAGGCGAAATAAAACTTTAAAAAAAGCTGAAAAAAGCTAAATAAAACCTAAAAAACGCTAAATAAAACCAAAAAAGGCTGAATAAAACTGAAGAAAGCCAAATAAAACCTAAAAACAGCTTATTTATAAAAGCTAAATAAAAACAGAAAAGAGCTGAAGAAAAACCTAAAAAAAGCTGAAAAAACGAACAAAAAAGACTAATAAAACCTAAAAAAAAAAAATCAAAAAAAGCTGAAAACACAAAAAGGCGAAATAAAACTTGAAAAAACAAAAAAAGGCCGAAAAAAGCTAACTAAAACCTAAAAAAGGCTAAATAGAACCTAAAAAAAGCTAACTAAAACCTAAAAAAGGCTAAATATAAGCTAAAAAAGCAAAATAAAACCTAAAAAACCTAAATAAATCTTGTAAAAGCCTGATGAAACAGAGYACCATGTTTCCTGATTTGATGTTTTTGTTGTTGTTTACATTTGTCCACCTCAGGAGCGGTCACATGACCAGACAAAGATGATTTCTCAGGACAAATCAAACATTTTTTCTCTGCACTCACATAGTCAAACTTCTCGGCGTTGCTGGCGTGTTGCTGCAGAGAGAAGCAAACAGGAAGTCAGTTAGTCCGGCTGCTTCATCAGGAGCTTCTGCAGCTTAAAACATGACAACTACACAATGACAAGTTGATTTTATCACAACTAAAAATGTAGAAAGAACTCAACTTTGTCTCAAGCAGATGTCAAATTATAAAAACTTTAATTTGTTACGAACAGAGGGGTCTGTCTGCAGCTGGAGAGAGGTTTAGATTGAGTTTAAACTAAAGCGTGTCTGATTCTGACTGTGCAGGTGGGAAAGTTGACTTCTTATGAGTTACAGTGATGCATGTGGGCGGAGTCAAGGGTCTAAATCTGTGCCTAAAACAGTCAGAAAACAGGAGGAAGACGAGGAGAAACGTCCTTCAGTTGGTTTCTGAGGTTCTAGCTTCAATCTGATGCTGAATCGTTACACAAAAGAACCACAGCAAGAATAAACAATGCACACATGCACTTTAAAACTGCATGATTTTAATCGTTTTAAGTTGTTTGAACTGAAGACAGGAAGAAATAATGATGTGGGTGTTAAAGAGTCACTACACAGGTTTCTACAGAGCTGATTAAAAAAAGAAATAAAAAGAGAGCGAAAGAGAACAGAGGGAGAGAAGGGGGGAGATCAGCAGATAGATATGGAAAAGGAAGAAAAAAATTACCAACGTCATTGACCTGCAGCAGCGGTCATTATTTCCCACAGTTCCTAAGTCTGGAAAAAATGCAACATACAAAAAAAAAAAAAAAAAAAAAAAAAAAAAACAACAACATGTAGCCTTCAAGCAGCAGGTAACAACAATTCTGCACACTGCCGGGGCAAACCATCCCATAATTATCATCCCTCCGAGGTTAATCTGAGCGTCATACATGAAATATTCAGAGAGGAAAACAAACATTACCATGAGCTGCAGACAAAAACGCTCCGTCTGAATTCAGAGGCTCAGATAACTGACAGGAGGATTTTTACAGATGAAATTAAATAAATATTAGACTATTTACAGTGATTTCATCATCAGCTCTATAAAAACATAACGATGCATTCTGAAGCTCTGATGAGCTGTAACTATTATTTCCTTCAACTATAAACATACTCCAGGATGCTTAGTTTTTATACATTTATAAATATTTAATGCAACATTGACGTCACATATTATTTATGCTGCAAAGCATTCTGGGTAAATGATGATTGATACTGGCTACTCCAGTGTGAGCTCTGTTTAATTAAAACATTAAATCTGGACAATGTCTGACATTCAGCCTTCTTAATTTAAATTTATATAYATTGTTAGCWCCAGAGCTAATARTTRTAGCATTASCTTCAAAATTAATATATATTGTTAGCTCCAGAGCTAATAGTTATAGCATTAGCTACTAAGTTTATGTATTATGGCATTAGCTCTAGAGCTAATAAAAATAGCATTAGCTTCTGAGCTAGTGCTAGCCCCCAAGTTTATATAATGATGTTAACTTCAAAGTTAATAAATATAGCATTACCTCCAAAGCTATTAAATACAGAATTAGCTCTTGAGCTCTTATAATATGGTGTAATGTTCTAGAGTTAACACAGATGATGTTAGCTCCAAAGCTAATAAAAATAGGTCTCTTACAGTTTTCTGTTGTAAATAAGACTACCTGAAGTAAAAAAATAAAATATAACGTTAGCTCTCCAGCTAATTTACTAAAATCAAACTGATTGTTTGTTTCAGCTCATAGAAACTAACACAAAATACAACTCCATCACACATTATAGCCTTGACTCAGTGTTTTACTCTCAACTCTGCAAACAACCATCATTCCCAGAATGCATTGCATCAGTAAAAAAAATGTAATAAACATTTTAAAAAATAATTAATGTTTTCACGTTAAATAACTTTGTAGATTAGACAACTAAACACATTATGTGAAAATAGTGGAGATGACTTTAATCTAACTTTAAAAGCAGCCGCTGATTTCAGACAGGCCCCGCCCCCTTAGTAAAGGTGAGTTTTATCTGACAGGTTTGTGACGTGATGGAAAAACATCTGATCTGAAACCTGCCTGACTAAAACTGACAGCGTACAGCAAGAAAGATGACTCCTGCTGAAGGTAAAGCCTAGAATAATCTAATCTAACATGAATTATCCTGGATTAAACCATTGTCGCTTTTATTTATCCTTAAAAAACAGAGCTAAATGTGAGAACGACACTTAAAAATGTTTAAATCACACACAAAACACTGTTAATTTGCTGCAAACCGTCTTTCTGCACAGGTTAATCTCTATAATCTCAGTTTCATTAATCTTAAAGAGCTGAGAAACCCTTTGAGTCTGAAGTGCAGTGAGAGTTTATTATGATGAGGTATTTAATCACCCAAAAACAACCAATCTGTACAAACATTAATCTAGGCTCCTTTTAATCCAGGTGCTACAGCAGATCTATACCCACCGTTACAGGGGATTATCTGTCTAAAGTTTAAAGAGGAGGAGACACAAACTCTGGATGTTTAACAACAAACAGCAGATAAGAGGAGAAAGTGTGGCGACTTTTACCTTAATCAGTGAAGTACAAACAATGGCTCCAGCGTTCACCATGGGGTTGTGAGGCTTATCTGACGACAACAAGAAGAGCTCYGTTAGCAGGCGGAGTGTTGAACCTCAGGCTCCGTTTAAATTAATTAATTAGTTATTTACTGTTGTAGCGGAAACGTGAATATCTTCTCAAGAGACAGTCAAACTTTTGTTCCTGTTAACTCCACCTTTTTCATCCTGCCTGCAACATCTCAAAGTTTGAATAATGACTTCTCCTGTTAATTCATCTGATACATCTGATTCTTCACCCTTAGGCCTTAGAACAAAGACTAGACTTCCTGTCGCCAGTTAATTTGTTTATCACCTCTTTCAG